GGATGGCGCCTCGCTCCACATAACCGGCGTCACTAAGGTCCCGCCCGTAGCCCTTGACATAGCCTCGCACCAAGGAGCTGTCGCAAGGATTCCCGCGGCTTTGAGAGGCGTCATAGTCCCCTTCCCGGCCCAGCTGCTTAAAAGCAGTCGCAAGGCTCGAGATAACCCCTTTCACAGCACTGGCGCTGGGACGCCGGTCAGCCCGCAGACGCCCAGGGTGCCGGGGGAACCACCATTCCACCAGATACGAAACAATGGACATAGGATCGCAGGTGAGCAAGGTGAGCCCGAGAGACTGGCGCTGCAACCAGCCATGAAATTCTCGCGCAGCACTTTGAACCCGCCGCCAGCTCTCCGAGACCCACTGACGTTGGTGCACCTGGTAGATCGAGAGCAAGGCGGCCGTGAGCGGCGGCCGCACCGACACGTCCCCGGTAAACTCAGAGTAATACAGAGCCGCGACAGGGTCTAAAGGCGGCGGCGCCGACCTCGGGAGACGGATAGGGCCCGCAGCAAGCGGAGGCATGGCAGGGAGAGGATTACCAGGAAAGACCTGCGGTGATCATAGAGCCGAGGCGTAGGATGCACTAAGCTGACGGACGTCCATCGAAAACAGACAAAACGTACCAGCGGCAGGTGTAACGGCGGGACGATGAGATCGTCACGCACAGGCGTAACGGTAACGAATCGAGGAGTAGACGAAGTAAGTGGGTCTTGGCCCCACGGTAAGCCGCCAGGTACGAGAGGAAACATAATGCTAACGGGTACTCGCGATAACACGATTACTCGATTCAGGAACACGGAAAATTATTACAATAAAACGGGGCGCGATCGCGCTTCCAAAAAATTTGGATATCACCGAAAAGGGCCTAAATTCGTTCGTGCGTGGTGCGTGGGGCTCGCTTAGGCGGAGAGCGTTACAAAGGTTGTAAGTGAGCCCTTCGTATCATACGGATGCTCGCCCCAACTAATCCGGCCCTTACGGTGGCGGGCTCTTTGACTTCAGAAATAGAGGATTAGGACCACTTTGCACCCCTCTGCATCGGAGAACCAACGATGCCGCCGCCTAGGACCTACAGGCGGCCAACTCGCTGTTTGTTGATTGCTTTACAGAGAAAATAAAAGACTAAGCACACAGCGCAGACGAAAGTAAAATCCACAAGAAACAACCACGAAACCGCAGAAATCGGCGGTTAAGTACTTGCTGCTGCTACGCTGCTATAATCCGTCCGAATTGCCAGCTTTTGGAGATCCACAATTCATTCACACTTACCAAGGAAGGGAGAGAAAACATGCATAGGAGGACTCGAAAAGAACAGAGGAAGAAAGAGAAGTGCGACAAGGCGAGAAAGGTACCCAAGCTGTCCTGAGCTAGGTTTATATATTATAAGATATACGGGCACGCATCCACGTCATCCAGTCCCCCAACCTATAGAACCACAAGTGCCCTGTTACACCGGCACAGCACGCACAACACCGGCGCCGTGGCCAAAAATGCCTCAAGACCGGTCCACCAGCACAAATCACTTCCATCTTTTTCTCTGTTGAATCCGTTCGTTTTCGTCGAACAACAACAAATATCTACGCCTAGCTCCTGAGTGTTCCTTTCCTGAGTTTCCTGCCTGGTCGTCGTCTGTCGCCGCATTCAGCTTCATTACCCGGAGTGTGTACCTGAAGGCCTTCACTGCACACTCCCTCCTATGGCACTCGTTGTTGTTGTTGTTGTTGTTGTTGTGGCACTTGTTGACCCGCCTGGCCGGCACCGGGCCGAGTGCCAAAGACTCCAAGATTCCACTCCCTCTCACCCCCAAGATTTCCATGTCAATCAAACCTTCAGTTTTTTGCCGCTGACGTCACACCAACCAGCCGCCAGCAAGAGGGCACCAGGAGGGGTTACATCGCTGGATGCCGCGGTATCCCGAGCAGTGAAACACCCGCGCACGACATGGGCGGCCGCATTGGCGCAGAACGTGCGGGGCCCTGGTAGACCGGGTAGTTACGGGGTTCGCTCAAGGTCAGTACAGTGTACGAACGAGGAGGCAGTATGGGCAGTGCAGGATATGTCGTACATGTGAGTATGTGTCATGTCAGCACACATCTCCGTCGCGCCCGGCCATGAACACAAGAGCACACACACACACACACATATACACACACACAGAGAACACACAGAGACACAGACACAGACAGGCGCAGCCGTGCAACTATCACCACCTGCAACCGGCACCTGTGTATGGCCTCAAACAAACCACAGCCGAGAGACAGCTTACCAGGCTGCCAGAGCCCGCCAGATTACGGTTCCACGTAACCAGGACCCCCCGCTGCAATTCCAACAAAACTACAATGCCAAAGACGATGTCGTACAGGATAGCACTTCAGATATTTCCATCCAATGGCATCAAGCACAGACCTTAAGGTCATGGGTAAAATCTCAAGCGCGCGCATCTCCCAAACGCAACCCGGCGGCCCCGCCTACTGACTAGGCTGCCTTGCACACGCGTGCGCAACCAGTGCCAGTAACACTGGCGCCTTAACCCTCCAGTCGCCCCCCACCGTCCCACATCACGCATCCGGAGCCGTTCTTCTTCTTCTGCTGCTGCTGCTGCTGCCCTTCTGTACGGCAGTTGTGACAACAAACCTCTCAAGGCATCCCCACCCAGCAGCTCCATTCGCCCCGGGCCCCCCCTCGACGCTCTGACGGTCTGACGGCGGCGGCGGCGGCTGCGGCGGCGACGTCCGCTTCCGTAGAAGAAGTGCTACGTTCCGCCGGCGACCCGTCTCCCGCCGCGTTTAGTAAACCGCCGCAGGGCTCCGAGCATGGAGGCGTACTGGTTGGCACAACAGGCACGCCACAAGTCAACCCCCTCCGTGCAGACCTCCGTGGCATTACCATCGTATGCCTTGAACCAGTCCATGGTTCGTCGGTTTTGGGATCCCCCGGGCCCGCGTTGCATCTTGAACACGAATTCCGACAGCGACCGTGTCACGTAGTGGTGTAGAGCTATTTTGTCCCACGATACCGGCAGCGACATAGGGCCCTGTATAGGAACACCGTGTTCGTTGACCGCGGCTGCGGCCGCGTTAAAGTATCGGAACTCATGCGGGTTACCGCCAATGCTGAGTACTTGGGAGAGCCGCCCGATCGTTTTTATGTGGCGGTTGTCATAGGCCGATGGCGGCGTGCACTTTGTATACGCCTCCAGTGTGCCGGTATCCGGGCGCTTGATATGGCCACTGCTGCCGAACACGCGCATGTTGACAGCCAGCCCGGGGTACTTCTCGTAGTTTTGCAGGAACGCCGTGATATTTGGCCTGTCTTCCTTGTAATCGCGAAGTATGATGTATTCGTCCGCGTCGATGAAAGCCATCCAGACATGGTCGCGGTGCGCAAAGTCAATGCATCGCTGGAATGCCGTGCCCTGACTGTACTCTGCGAACAGGCGGCCCCGCTCGCGAGAGTGATGCTTGGGATCGCCATCGTAATGATATTCAACAAGCCCGGTCTTAATAAATGGCATCAGCATCCGCAAGTTGAACAACGGCCGGCTGCTGTTGTAGTCCATCACGTATATCTTATTGAACCCAATCCAGTGGTGATAGAGAATAAACTCCAGTAAATACGTCCCTTCATCTTTGACGTTTGTGCATATTGAAGCATAAGCGCTGCGATAGGATGTTGCATCGCGCAAAAAGGCAGCCAGGCTCAAGCAAGCAAAGAGTAGAGGTGCTGTTGGATACCTACGAAAAAACATCATTTATCTGCGCGGCCCAGCACATAAACCAGCGCCCGACCTTATACAGCCATGGCGACAGAGCTCATGTGCGGGCACAACGTCCTAACAAATAATTTAAATTGTTACATGAATGTATAGGCGGTGAGAACGGACCTCACAAACTCGTGCGCGCTGTCGCGTACGATTTGTACAACCACCTGGTAGTCCTTAATCAACCATCAACGCACTTTGTGCTGTAGATAGGGACCATGTGCCAATCTCAAAGGCCCATGGAAGTGGCATGGTAGGCATATTAAGCCTCAAAGGTAAGCAGAGCGGAGAGCGGAGAATGCAAGCACCTGCTGAGAGGCAGAGCCACAGCACAGCTGCATGTCGCTGATATACCACAGCAGAGCCAGGAGATCCTACTTGCAGAAATACGCCCCGGCACAGGAGCACCACAGGGCAGGGATATCTCCTCATGTTGGTACGTTGACACATATCGTGGCGAGGGAAGTTCACATGTCCACCGGGCCAATCCCAGTGGCCAAAAATTGCGGTCCATCTGCGCGTGGCATAAAGCCCCCAGATCCGTTATTGCAAAAACCTGGTTTGAACGAGCACCTTGGACACGGCCGTGCTAAAGGCAAGCAAATCATGCTAAGGGGGCCGGACCATTCACCCACAAGGTCCTGGTGACAAGAATGCCAGGTGGTTCCACCCATCTGATCAACATAGAAGCCCCAACATTCCCCCATGCTTGCGAGTACGCCATTATGCGCCGCTGCAATACATGCATATCACTCCGAGGGAGTTGCGCAAGTAGTCGGGGGAACCCCATAGCAGACATTGTAGTATCCAGCGGACTGGCCCAAGAGCCCCTTAGGTTCATCCTGGGCGAGCGTTAATGTTCGGGATCTACATCCTTCACGCCGATCGTGCTGAGGAGGGCGGCAATGACGTTGGTGGTTAAAAATTGGACGACGTCGATACCCCGGATATCATCATTGTGATAAACTGGCCATTCCTTTTTTGCGTAACTTTGAGGCTCACCGACTGAGCACGCCTTTAGCGCAGCAGATATCCAGGTAGGCTTGGACCTTGCAGGTACATTTCATGGCAGGTACATTTCATGGCAGGCGATATGGACATGCGATTCAAACGTTTTCCTAAGCGCAAAGCTGGACAAAATGAAGCTGTTTGCTCCCGACGTGCGAATGCAGTGCTTTGCAACCCAAGTCCGAGCAATTCTGTTGCATGGCTGCCAGGCGTGGGGCCCTTTTGCGCTGGCAGAGGTCGTGGACAGGGCGGGAAGGCGGCGGGATAAAGCCAACTTTGCGGAGGGCATGTTCGAAGCCTGTTTGAAGGATAGTGCAGTCCAGCTGCGGATTTTATTCATGAGGCAGGTAGTTGGCGCGGCCATCCCACAGGCTGTTGTATGCGGAGCTGGCGGAACTCAACTTACAGTATTACATGGTGAAACAGATCCTCCGTTTCTGGAACCGCCTTCAAAAGCAAGTGGGGTCCATTGCTCATGCAGTTTTACGGCAGGAGATAACCGATGCCCTGACCAACCCGGAATGGGAGGGTTGGGGAACCTCAATGTTACGACTGTTTTCCTTCTTGGAGTGCAATATATGGAGCGGAATACCGCAAGAAGTCATGGGGGTAAAGGAGCGTGTTGACTGGTTGTTGAGTAGGCCTCTACCAGAAGGAGCGATGATAACGGCACTAAGAGAGCGTTTGATGAGCGGCTGGGACCATACGCGTCTGACTATCTTGCCAGAGGGGTGCGGCCTCGGTAGGGTAGGGTTACCCGAGGAGTTACCGGCCTTTACCCTACCACTTTTACCCAACCAAAGGGTTACCAGGTTACCCCACCGACGGATCATCCTACCGATCGGCTACCCTACCAATTGGTTACCCACCAGGACAAAACTCGGTTGACTCTAATGAAATGTAATGGAAAGTTCCTAGCCTTTGCATAGGAAGTGCCTTGTGTCTACACCTGCTGGTTCAGTAAAGCGACCAGATCTGCTGCCTGCTGTGCTGCTGAGCTGCTGCGTGCTGCTGTGCTGGCTGGTACATGCTGGCAGAAGAAATATTTCCTAACAAGACTGCTCATGTATGCAAGTTTAAGCATAATTTTTTGATATAACATACGCCGTACAAAGGAAAATTTCAAACTTTTGGACCAAGTTCCACAGGCCAACAAACAGTTGTAGGATCCAATGCTCGTCATTGCACCTTAGGGTTGAAACGACGAGCATCCCTTAGCCATTCATACACGGCTCGGCCCAGTTGCCTTAATGAAAAGGTACAGACATTTTGAAAAACTGATAGTCTTCTAAGCGAAGCGTCTAGATAACAAAAGGTTTTCTGTCAATCCGGAGTGCCACCGCACGATCTACTCGCTTGCAGATGTGTCGCTGCGAGTGTGACTGTGCTGGTGACTTCGGTCTTGCGTAGAGCTACGTTTTGGCTCGCTGCCCTGACGCCGGACGCATCTTTGATCCGGGTGGAGAAACCTTACAAGACATGTGCGTTTCCCACTTTTTCCAATCGCGCGCGCAAATGGGACTTAGGTTACGAAACCTCCACAGGGCGGCTTATCCCTCGTTGTCGCCCCACCGCGCACACACACCAAAACCCTGGAGCCGTACCCCAGGGGTAGCACACGCCCCCCGGGGCGCCCAGCTCGGTGACTTCATACGGTTCGCATCATCATCATGTGCATTATGCATTATGCATGAGACTTTCCTTACGGAATTGCCATGCACAGCCTCATACATCCTTGTGTAAGTAGTCCAGATGTTCAGTCTAGCGAGAGCCAACTAAGCTAAAACAGGAGACCCGCTCGGGTCCACCTCCGCTACACTGCCTGTCAGTTAGCACAACATATGGTTATAGCGCTGCGTGATTCATACACACACATACACACATACACAAACCACACTGCTAGTCACCCCCCAGGCCTGCAGGCTAAAACTCCTCCATCCGTTAACCAATCCACAAATCCACACCGAGAGACGCCCCTAGCCCCTTGCTCCGCTTTTTTTCTCTTTCTCTCTCAACACACACTCTCAAGCACCAACAAAGAAACCAAGTTTCACACACACCCTCCCTCCCACCCGTCGCTCCCCCTCTTTCCCATCACCACTACCATTACCACCACCCAGCAAAATACATCGCCACTCTACCTCCACCTCCCCGTCGCCCGCTGCCGTACTGCCTAGCTATGAATTTCTAAGATCTGCTCCCGGAGTAAACATGCGCCACAACACATGTGCATGTGCACACGCCCTCTACCCACACATCCTCAAACCCTCACGTCTCCCCTCGCCACAAGAAACCCTAATCCCCACCTCCCGCCCCGGGACTGTCCCTTGCCGAAACCCCGGCGAACGACAACCCCACATCGTGTATCACGTAACGCCTCGGAGAGCAACACTAGTTCCTGGAAAATCAACACACATTTTCCCAACCGAAGCCCGGCACAAGGAGTGCGGCGGCGAATACATAATACATACATACATGCATGCGTGCATACACATTCACATGCACATACACGCTTTCCACCCTCCTGCTCCTGCTTTCCCCCCCGACCAGCCCCTAACGATGGTGGTGGTGAGATGGTCGCGAAGGGAAGGGCCCCCGCGCCGGTTCAGATAGCGGCCGTACAGCTCGTACCGCTCGTACCGCTCTGAGTACTTCAGTCCAATGCACCGGACTTATTTGCCATGGTCAGTGTTCGTACCATCGCGCCGAAATTCCCGCCACCTCCTCCGCCCCCACCCCCTCCACCTCCTCCTCCACCCCCAACCACTCCTCCCAGCACGCCGCCGACTGCGAAGGAGCCCGCGTGCGCCAAACCCACCGAACCCCCCCCGCCTCCTAACCCGCCCCCGCCCCCTCCCCCACCCCCGGTACCCCCCGGCCCCAACGCCGCGACCCCTGAGGCCATCATCCCCAGCGCCGGCGCCGACGCAACGCCCGACGCCGACGGCGCCATCGACGCCGTGGGCTGTAGCTGTTGTTGGAGCCCACCGCCGCCGCCGCCGCCGCCGCCGGCCGCCT